TCCGGAGCGGCGGCAGCGGCGGCGCGGGCAGGGCAAAGCCAGCCGCGTCGGCAGAGGGTTTGGTTCAGCTGTACGAGCATGGCGCCTTTGGGAAATTTGGATGGGGATTATATTGACTCAGAGGACAGCGGCGACGAGGAGCTGCAGCGGCGGGTGCGTTGCGTTTTAGGGATTGTGGTGGTGGTGGTGGTGGGGGGGGGTGATGCAGCTGCCCATGAGGATGCGTGCGTTTGCGGTCGCGACTGCACGTGTGACTTTGTGTGTGTCTGTGTGTCAGTATGTGTGTGTGAGTGAGTGTGTGTGTTCATCCAGCCCCCCGCACCAAGCTGCAGCCGCTTTCGATTCCACCATCCTCACATCACACGCAACTAAATTGAACCACCCACCCACCTCATCCAACCGCAGCTCAATTCTAGGGACCTCCGGGACCTCCTGTCCGCCCCCTGCGCAGCTTCGCCCCTGGAAGCCGCCTTCATGCACGCCTGGAACGCCTGGCGCCGCGCCCGCGCCCCCCGCGCCCGCGACGGCACCGCCGCCGCCGCGCTGCGGCGCTTTGCGTCCGAGGCGCTGCCGGCGCTGGAGGCGGCGCGCGGCGTCGGCGCGGGGCGCGTGTTTGTGGCGCATTGCCTGCAGATGGTAGAGAGAGGGCTGGTGCGGCCGCAGGAGGCAAGCGCCATTCTGGGTGACCTGCGCAGGCGCGCGGGGGGTGGCGGCCCAGGCGGTCCTGGCGGGGTTGGTGGCAGGGGGGGCGGCGGCGGTGCAGGCGGCGGGACAGGGGGAGGCCCGGGGCCTGCGTCGCCAGCGAGCGCGGGCGGCGGCGGCGGCGGCGCCGAACCCGGCGCCGCGCCTGGAACCAGTGCGGGCGACGGCGGCGGCGGCGGCGGCGGCAACGCCGGGCCCACGAGCAGTGCGGGCGGCCGCGGCGACGGGGGCGGCGGCGGAGGTGGAGGCAGGAGCGCTGGCGGGCTTGGCGGCGGGAGCGCCCGTGACGCGATGGACGGGGACCCGCCGACGGCGGTGAGCAAGGGTAGGATGGCAGCACCCGATGCAGCGGCACCAACGGTGGCAGCAACACCAGCAGCAGCAGCAACAGCATCAGCAGCAGCAGCAGCAGCAGCAGCAGCAGCAGCAGCAGCAGCAGCAGGAGGAGCGGCGGCGGCGGCAGCAGCAGCAGTAGGAGCACTCGCAGGCGGCTGTCATCCAGCAGTCACCCGGCCGGGCGCAGCCACACAGCATCCCGCCCCTGCGACGAGCGCGCAGCGGCTGCGTGGCTTGGGGGGGCGGTCTGAGGCGCGAACAACGCGTGTGCATGGCGCCGGCGGGCGGTTTGTGGCGCTGGCGCGGGGTGCTGCATGGCAGCAGGCGCGACCTGGAGGGAGCGCTGCGAGAGATGAGGTCCCAAAAGACGGACAGGCGGCGTCGCAGACCGCTGCGGCCCAGAGCGCAGACGCCGGCGCGGCTACCAGCATGACTGCGAAAGCCGCGGCGGCGGCGGCGCCGCCACACGGGCGTGGCGACGGGGAGCGAGGCGCCGCGCTGGCTCGGGCGGGCGAGGGCCCCGTCGCGCCCGGCGGTGCCCGTGCGGGCGCGGTTGGGCGCTGTCACAGCGACCCAGGGGGGCCGGCGGGGCGGCTTCGAGAGCTTGCTAGGTGGCTGGCGGCCGCTGGGCGCGACCCCCCAGCAGCATCCAAAAAGCTCTCCGGGGACCGACCGGCCAAGGCCGCAGAGGCGGCGGCCGCAGCTGCGGGGCGCTGGAAGGGCGCGCGAGAGGCGGCGGCGCCAGGCGGGGAATGGTACCGCCGGCAAGGCAAGCGGCGGCCGGCGGCGGCGGTGGGGACGGTTGCGGCCGTGTCGCGAGGCGGGACGGCGGCGGCGGCAGCGACAGAGCTGGCGGCTTTAAAGGCGACGGCGGGCGCAGCGGGGCGCCGCGCCGGCTCGGCCCTGGAAGCTCGGCGGGCGAGCGGGGGCACGGGCGCCGCGGCGCCGGCGGCAGAGCCGCTGAGAGCCGCCGGTGGGGGCTGGGACGCGGCCGGCGTTGCTATGGCCGCGGCGGGGTACATGATTGGGGAGCCGTCATCCGCGGCAGCGGCGGCGGATGCTTTGCCGTTGATGGATTCGGGGCGCTGCAAGAAGCGCCCGCGGGCAATGCAGGGCGACAACCTGATAGCGCCATGAAGCTGTTCAATCATTTGCCTTCATCTGTCTTTCATCGCGATTTCCCCATACTCTATCAGATGTACGCGATTCCCCCATACTCTATCAGATGTACCGAGTCGTTTTTTGTGTTTCTGGAGCCTGTGAGTTTTGCGAGGAGGCTATGCACCGATGGCTGGCAGTCTCAAGCTGCAGCCTCGTTTGACCTGCCCCTTCGTGTTGGTCAAACCAGCTGCTGTCATTCTACCCTGAGTCCCAGCGCCACTGCGGCGGCTGTAACCTATTGCTCAACCACAACCAACGAGCCAAGCCTTGGCGCTCTTGGCCCCTACCTCTTGGCTCCGGCCTGGTGGCAGGCATGACAAATTGGTGGCGTCGTCACAGCATGGCTCGGCGACGGCGAGGCGACCAATTGCCTGCAGTTTGCAACCACCTTGAATCCGCCTGATCAGCAATCCATCCGACCAAAGCGTCGAGTTGTCATGTGATGTTGGAAACCCGTGCGCAGCAGTGGTGGCAGGGCACCGGGGGAACAAAAGCAAGCCCGTCGAAGTCACGAAGTGAGACCGGCGGCTGCCTGCAAGTCAGGTGACATCGACATCAGGCTCCTTCCATCGCCTCATTACTTCAGAAACAGGCAACATTATTTACGGATGACCCGAACGGGGCCACTGGAAGGCTTTGAAAGTCTCGGCAGCGCCCAAGGGCTCTTGAAAAGACGTTAATCCCTTGCTGCTGGTGATTTTGTTGTAGGAACAAACTCGATTAGCTGAACGCGGCGTGCGCGCACAGCGCGGGCTCATCATGCAACGAGCCCAATGGAAATTGCAGGCCTCTTTCGTGCTAGCTGTCTGGTGTCTCGTCCACGGCGCGGCCGCTGCCAAGTGCGGATCCTTCAGTCTTTTGGCAATCGGTGATAGCATCACGAAGGTGAGCGGCTGCCGACAGAATGGCGCCAGCGCGGCGCACAGTGCTGCTGCCGCGCACGCCGCCACACCATGCATTATTGGGCGCTCCCACAACACCCTTTTTGCACCCTGTGACACAATTCGCAGGGGGCGATTCCCAGCAAGGGCATCAACACGCCCTACGCGTACTTAGTCAGAGACGGCCTGCGGTCGTCCCTGGGTGGCTGCTTCGACGTTCAAGCGACCGTGTCGGGTGCGCGTCAGCATTCGGCCCCGCGTGCACCCGCTCACCCGCCATGTCGCAGCTGTGGGCGCGTGCGCAACCCCAGCCGCTGCCGCTCCTGCCTTAGCACGCATTTGCAGAGCCGATCCCCGCCTGAGTGGAGTTCCATTCGCCCCTGCAATTCTGCCCCCACCTCCGCACCCTGATCCCACGATGGCTTTTTAATTTTTGCAACCCCAGCGGTCGGCGGCGGCGGCATCCGCCAGCGGAACGTCCGCACCATTCCCGAGTACTCCCTGCCCACCCTTCGCTCAAAAAAATGGGACTGGGTTATGATCATGGTGAGTAAGCTCGCAGCCGGGGCCGCCCGGGGCTAGAGCGTGAGAAGAGGGCACGGGTGGCGGGGACGTCACGGCGCCAAAAAATCAGGGACGGTGACGTCACTCGTCGTCATCGCGCCACGACGCACGAACAGGGCAGCGGCGGTGGCGCGGATCGCGGGGGAGGGGGCGTGGGGGTTGAGCT